AGACACACATGGCCATGGACCAACAATTATTAATTGTATAATGAAAATAGTGGATAGGCATTTAATAATAATAGGTAGTAGTAGTATGGGTATACATTTAATCATGTTCATAATGAGAAATAATAATAAAATAATAATAATAATGATAGTAATAATACCAGTAATGATGCTTACTTTTTTCCCCTTTCTCGGTATATTCTTTTTTTTTCCTTTTTTTTCTTTTTTTTTTATCTGATCCTTGTCTTTCAATGTTTCGTTTGCCTCTAAGCGATCTGGGTTCTGCTTCATATATTATCGTTCTCTTTACTGTTATTTTCAGTATTCTGATCATCGTTAGCAGTGGTACATGTGATAATAAGGTATGTCATTAGTGATGGTTGTATCAACGGTATTCTCGTTACAATCATTCACTATGTTATCATTATCAATATTATCACAGTATTACCAATATCATTATCCCCCAATTTCATCTTTAAAATCAATAGCATTTCTTGAATCATGATTTAGGAAGAAACCTGGGAGTTATATCAAATCAGAGCGGATTGCCATACCCATCCTCTTCATTTTAAAAAGTATTGAAAATAAAAGAAAGAGAGGAAGAGATGATCAAAACCGTAGGACAGAGAAAGGGGTGAGAGAGAGAAAGACATAGGATTGAAATCCGAAGGAGGAGAGAGTGAGGAGGGGGGGGAAGGATGAATCCAAAAAGGGACAGAGGAATGGAGAGAGGATCGAATCTAAGGAGGGAGAGAGAGGATGGAGAGAAAGTGATGGTACCCCTACTGGGGCGTCAAGGGTATTTACAAAGTTTTAGACGTGTTATAGACAATAGGAAAAGGGATGTAGAAAGAGAAGTTATTACTGGGTGGGAACAAGCACCCCCTTAAGATGCACGAATAACTAATACTCATTCCTTGCGAGGAACGGCCAGAACATCTTATCATACGATCAGCAAGCCAAGGTCGAGTCAGAGGCATGGGTATGAGTAACTGCATGCTATTTGGTGTCGAGGTAATTTGAGAAAATTTGATATGAGAAGTTCTTATCTGCAACTGGCGTAAAGAGATCCATATCGAGAGAAAATGTCGATAATAGGGAACAGGAAGGAAAGAAAGAACATGTCTTTGTCGATGCTTGAAGTGGAGGTCCAGCCACACGTAGGGATAGCGACAGAATCCTTGTCAGAAGATATAAACGAAAATCACAAAAGAAAATCTGGGAGGGAGAGAAAAAAAAAGCAGAGGCGTGTGCGGTTAGGTTATACTATAAAAAAGAAAACATTTCATCGATTTGTTTTTTTATTGTCAAGAGTAAAATATAACTGAAAACCCACTGACGCCGACTGCCTCACCCGTGAAAACATGAACAGGACGAGTGAGCGAAGGAGTCGGCGAGCACTGCAAGGGACTTCCCGCTGGAGGCACTGAGGCAAGTCTGTTTGGAAGCACCTTTGCTTGCCTCGTGACTTTTGTGAGAGCTTCGACGTTGGCTTGAGCTTGGAAACTCCTTCCTCTGGCGTTGGATATTTGGTGAGCAAAAAGCTTTTGGCAAAGCCGCCTGTGCGTGAGGATGGATGGGTCTTATACATGTGGTGGGGTGGGGGAGGAGGGTAGGAGGGGCGGGGGCGTGGTAGGAGGGAGTGGGGTGGTAGAGGGGGCGGGGGCGGGGTGCGAGGCCTCTCCCTCGTAGGCGACGTTGGCGACGTAACCGTTGTCGTGATCGGCGGTGAATTCGACGATCTCGGTTCGGCCGTCGGGAAGAGCCACGCTGTAGGATCCGGAGGTGACGTGACCGTCGCTGGTCTGGGCGTGGGCGTAGTCGTTGCCCGAGTAGGGGTCCCTGACGGCGTAGCTGAAGTCGAAGGGCATTCCTGGCTGCTTGTAGGTCGGGTGAGGAGCGTGGTAGACGGGAGGAGAGTCGGGACGGGGGACGGCGGAGGCCAGAGCCGCGAGGGCGCCCACCAGGAAGATCAGCTGCAGGAGGGAACAGGTAATTCCGAGCTAATATTAAATCACATGACGAACATCACAGATTTCGACGAGGAAAGTTGGCACATCAAAAGGAAAGACTCTTCAATTCTGTTAATAGAATGAAATAACAGAGTAATACCAAAACATTGCTGGAACAAACGACTAAATCTTCTGGACTAGTGAGAGAGAGAGAGAGAGAGACCTTCGAGACGTATATCCTTCGAGAGCTACTCACTTTCGCACACATGTTGGTCGCAGAAGTGTTGACTGAACTGTGATGCTCGGAAAAGGGAAACAGCCATTTATATACTCACCACCAGGACGGAACCTGTGACGTCACTGTTCTGACTGAACAGTTGATGTTACATGACAGATGACTTTAATGATAACAGGGAGAAAGCTGCTTTAAAATAGTAAGTAAATGATCCAAGTAAAAGTGATGATAACAGCTTAATTCAAAGGTTTACCAAATATACTAATGAATAACAAAGAAGAAAATACAATAAACATAATGATATAATGGAATTAATATTAAGTAGGGGATATTAAGAAGGAGAAATAGTACAACATAAACAGAAGTTTGTGATGATGACTGCATTACCAATGACAAGTGTCTTAATGGTTGTCATATGGATGAAAATGATAGTCCTGGAAATATCAAAAAATATAATTGATTATGATGAAATAATGATACCGATGGTAATAATGATAAAAACAATAGCAATGAAAACAATCATGAATATAGATAGAACAGTGTTTAGAATAATCACGATAATAGTGATTGTAACAATGATGATCCCAATCCCAATGATGATGGTGATGATGTTTATGATAATTATAATGATATTAATACTAACATAACTACTATTATTGCAGATGATAATAGTGATAATGATCATCATGATAATAATGATAGTAAAGATAATGATAATAATGGTGATTATAATAGTAGTAACGATAATAAAAATAATAGCAATAATGATGACAAGAACAATGATAATATTAATGATAATGGTGATGATAATATTAATAACAATAACAATAATAGTAATAATAACAATGATAATTGATAAAATAATATGATGTTAATGATAATGATAATGATAATGTTAGTGATAATGATAATGATATTAATTATAATGATGATAATAGTAATAATGATAGTAATGATAAAAATAACAATAACAACAATAATTGTGATAATGAAAATAGTGATAATTAATATTAATAGTAGTAGTAGTATTGGTAAACATTTTAATAATGATCATAATGAGAAATAATAATAAATAATAATATAATGATGATAATACCAGTAATGATGCTTACTTTTTCCCTCTTTCTCGGTATATTCTCTTCTTTTCCTTTAATTTTGTCTTTTTTTATCTGATCCTTGTCTTTCAATGTTTCGTTTGTCTCTAAGCGATCTGGGTTCTGCTTCATATATTATCGTTCTCTTTACTGTTATTTTCAGTATCTGATCATCGTTAGCAGTGGTACATGTGATGATAAGGTATGTCATTAGTGATGGTTGTATCAACGGTATTCTCGTTACAATCATTCACTATGTTATCATTATCAATATTATCACAGTATTACCAATATCATTATCACCAATTTCATCTTTAAAATCAATAGCATTTCTTGAATCATGATTTAGGAAGAAATCTGGGTTATATCAAATCAGAGCGGATTGCCATACCCATCCTCTTCATTTTAAAAAGTATTGAAAATAAAAGAAAGAGAGGAAGAGATGATCAAATCCGTAGGACAGAGAAAGGGGTGGAGAGAGAGAAAGACATAGGATCGAATCCGAAGGAGGAAGAGAGAGGAGGGGGAAGGATCGAATCCAAAAAGGGACAGAGGAATGGAGAGAGGATCGAATCCTAAGGAGGGAGAGAGGGATGGAGAGAAAGTGATGGTACCCCTACTGGGGCGTCAAGGGTATTTACAAAGTTTTAGACGTGTTATAGACAATAGAAAAAGGGATGTATTACTGGGTGGGAACAAGCACCCCCTTAAGATGCACGAATAACTAATACTCATTTCTTGCGAGGAACGGCCAGAACATCTTATCATACGATCAGCAAGCCAAGGTCGAGTCAGAGGCATCGGGTATGAGTAACTGCATGCTATTTGGTGTCGAGGTAATTTGAGAAAATTTGATATGAGAAGTTCTTATCTGCAACTGGCGTAAAGAGATCCATATCGAGAGAAAATGTCGATAATAGGGAACAGGAAGGAAGGGAAGAACATGTCTTTGTCGATGCTTGAAGTGGAGGTCCAGCCACACGTAGGGATAGCGAAAGAATCCTTGTCAGAAGATATAAACAAATCACAAAAAAAACTGGGAGGGAGAAAAAAAAGCAGAGGCGTGTGCGGTTAGGATATACTATGAAAAAGAAAACATTTCATCGATTTGTTTTTATTGTCAAGAGTAAAATATAACTGAAAACCCACTGACGCCGACTGCCTCACCCGTGAAAACATGAACAGGACGAGTGAGCGAAGGAGTCGGCGAGCACTGCAAGGGACTTCCCGCTGGAGGCAATGAGGCAAGTCTGTTTGGAAGCACCTTTGCTTGCCTCGTGACTTTTGTGAGAGCTTCGACGTTGGCTTGAGCTTGGAAACTCCTTCCTCTGGCGTTGGATATTTGTTGAGCAAAAAGCTTTTGGCAGAGCCGCCTGTGCGTTGAGGATGGATGGGTCTTATACATGTGGGTGGGGTGGGGGAGGAGGGTAGGAGGGGGCGGGGGCATGGTAGGAGGGAGTGGGGTGGTAGGGGGCGGGGGCGGGGTATGAGGCCTCTCCCTCGTAGGCGACGTTGGCGACGTAGCCGTTGTCGTGATCGGCGGTGAATTCGACGATCTCGGTTCGGCCGTCGGGAAGAGCCACGCTGTAGGATCCGGAGGTGACGTGACCGTCGCTGGTCTGGGCGTGGGCGTAGTCGTTGCCCGAGTAAGGGTCCCTGACGGCGTAGCTGAAGTCGAAGGGCATTCCTGGCTGCTTGTAGGTCGGGTGAGGAGCGTGGTAGACGGGAGGAGAGTCGGGACGGGGGACGGCGGAGGCCAGAGCCGCGAGGGCGGCCAGGAGGACGAGCTGCAGGAGGGAGCAGGGGATTCCAGTCAAGTGAAGAACAAGGATGAGGACGAAGAGACCATTACATGGAAGCAGGAATATCCCGAGGAAGGGTACTTCAATTTCAGAAAATGTTTTATATAGAATCCTAAACCTTTTTGAATCGACAGCAAGAACCTTGAAGAATTAATGCAAGGTATGAATCTTATGCCGATATACTTTGCTTCTAGCTGAGCGCAACTTGTCACTACATCACTGATGGTCTCTTAATGTATGATGATAGATCAATGAATGGTATTGTAAAGACATAACCTTATGTAGAAGAATATGAAATAAGGGAATTAAAGAAGGGACATGGAGAAGAGGAGGGACTGATGGAGGGAAAGAGAAGGACAGTTTACTAGCTCGAAAGCCTGAAAAATAAAAAATCTCGAAAGCTACTCACTTTTACAGACATGTTGGTCGCAGAGAAGCTGAGTGAGCTGTGATGCTCGGCTGAAGGAGGAAGCCCCTTTTATACTCATTTCTAGAATGGAGGTTGTGACGTCACTGCTACGACCAATGGACTGCAAAGCAAATTGATGATAGTAACGTGAAAGCAGTTATAGAATGGCAAACAAACAACTTCAGCAAAAATTATATTAGCAACAGATTTGTAATGCCAATATATTAAGTAGGTATTGATATTATGAAATAAGAAAAAATCCGGTAGAGATGGTTATATTCTTCACGCGATACTGAATTAATGAAAGGATTTATGGCTACAGAATAGCAGACATACCTCTGATACCGATAAGAGTAATACCATAAGCACATCTCACAAGATTAAACACTGCTATTAATGATGATATTGATAATGTTCTTGAGTGATGATAACATTGATTATGATATTGAAGAATGATATGAAGAAAGAAATTGTATTTTTTTATATAAGCAATTGTAGCATTAGTGTTACCAATAATGACAACAATAACAATGATAGTAGATATGATGGTAATTAATAATGATAATGAAAAATGACTCCCTCAGTTTTTTTTACTTTTGCTTAAACATTATTCCTGGTTGATACAAGTATCGTCGCAAAGCTTGATGAAATTAGAATGAGATTGTTTTGTTAGGATAAAAAAGATGTCTATACACCTAGTGAGAGGTCTGCGTCTCTCAACATCGACTTGGCTAAGCATGATAGCGATAATGATAAGGATTTTAATAATGGAAAGGATAATAATTGTAATACTACTGCTAATAATCATATTAACAAAAAGGATGATAATAAAATCTTTACATCATCATCCTTATCACTATTGTCATTACTATTATTATGACTGTCAAATTTACTATTTCTATTACTGTCGTCATTGCTATTGTTATTGTTATTGTAATTGTCATTATTATTATTATTATTATCATCACTATTGACTTTATCACTATTAATTATTTATCATCATTATCATTATTGGATTATTGTTATGATTGTTATTATCATTGTTATTATTATTATCTATTATATTATCTTATCATCATTATCATCATCAACAAACATCATTTTAGGAAGAACCTCATTTGCATAACAGATTTAATCTAATTTGAAAAAAAGAAAAATGAAGATAAAGAAGAAAAACATGCAGTAGAAAAGAGAAGGAAGAAAACGAAGAAGAATAGGAGATGAAGGAGAGCAAGGAGAAGACGAAGAAAACCAGGAGAACAGGAAGATGATAAAGTAGATAGGAGAACAAGAAGAAGGAGGCGAAGTGGAAAAGAAAGAGCAAGGATAAGACGAAAAAGAAAGGAGAACAAGAAGGAGACGAAGAAGAAAATAAAGAGAGCGAAGAAGAGCAGGTGAACGGGAAGGAGGAAAGGAGACTAAGGAAAGAAGAACAAGAAGGAAAAAACAAATAAAAAAGGAGACGAATGAAAGAAGAAAAGGAGGAAAAATAACAAAAAGGAGACTAGGGAAAGAGAAGAGAAATAAGAACTAGAAGGAGATTAAGAAAAAGAACAAGGAGAAATAAAGAGCAAGGAGAAAGAAGAACGAGAAGAAGCAAAGGAGACTTCCAAGCTTTCGAGAGAAGAGATCCAAAGGAGACCGAGGAAAGAAGAACAAGCAGGAGAATGAAAAGGAGAGAAGGAAAACGAGAGGAAGAGATTCCAAGCACTTTCCAGAAGGCTTCGATCCCTGTTCCGATTCCGTCGCCAGAGAGCAGCTGCGGAGCGACGACGCGAGTGCTTGTGGCGAGCGACTCGTCCTCCGTCAAGTGGGAAGCGGCGTGGTAGTGAATAATTTTTGGTATTCTGTCATTGTGTAAATAAAGTACTCGTTTTCAATATCTAGTGTTTGTAGTAAGCAACTAGTCCTCTCCAGTCTACTCGTTAGTCAACTAGTCCTCCATTAGGTGGGAAGCGACATTTTAGTGAATAATTTTTGGTATTCTAAGTCGTGTAAATAAAGTACTCGTTTTCCCCGCTCTGAAGAAGTATCCACCTGTTTGCGGGGTTCTGCCAACGTAAAAGAGCTTGTTTCGTTCTTCCACTTTGATTTGTTTTGGTTTGAGGAGGAATATTATTTCAATTTTGTTCGTCTTATGTGTTCAGCCACTTTTTTTATATATTGATGTTTCATGGTCTGAAAGCCACCTAGTTTGCCAGTCAAAGACCTCCTCAGCCACAGCACTGTCAGAAGTAGCGTCGCACGCCCCTAACGTCAATTTTCTGTGAGGAAAGGATGACTATATCTGTAGTAATTGAATTAATAATGATGGAAATGCTAATGATAATGATAATAATAATAACAATGATGATAATGATGTCAATGATGTTATTTACTGCAATAACAATGTGAGAACATCTTATCTTACAGCTGGATTCTCGTGCGATCAGCAAGTGCAAGCAGCACCGGCGAGGATAACTGCCGTTTTGCGATGAGGTAATAACAAGCGAAAAAATATAAATCCTCTCTATCTACAAGTGACTCCGAGAGAGAAAACGAGTAATTCTCAAAAATGAATGAATGAGAAATTGCGACGATAGTTCTTGGTGAGAAAAAGGGAAAAGAAAGAAAGGCAGAACATGTCTGTCCATGCTCGAAGCGGACGTCCAGCCACGCGAGAGGCCATTGACAATCTCAGTTAAAAGAAATATATACATAAAAAGAAAAGAAAGAAAAAAAGGGCGCTCAGAAAAGCAAAGAGAAGCAAATATGTCTGCGGTTAGAGTGTACTTAAAAAAAGTTTTATCGAGAAACATTTATTGACAAGAGTAAATTACAGCGACTAGAAGACGACTCACTTGTGAAAACATGAACAGGACGAGTCAGCAATGTTGCAATGAATTTCCATGTGGAGGTGATGAGGCTGAGGCACAGGAAGCACCCTGGTTCTGCCTTGTGCCTTTGGCGTGAATTTAATGATGCTTGGGCTTGAAAAGTCTTCCTTTGGCGTCGGATATTTGGTGAGCAAGGAGCTTTTGGCAGAGCCGCCTGTGCCTTGAGGATGGAAGGGTCTTATGCATGTGGGTGGGGAGGAGGAGGAGGGTAGGAGGGGCGGGGGGCGTGGTAGGGAGGGGGATGGTAGGGGGCGGGGGCGGGGTACGAGGCCTCTCCCTCGTAGGCGACGTTGGCGACGTAGCCGTTGTCGTGATCGGCGGTGAATTCGACGATCTCGGTTCGGCCGTCGGGAAGAGCCACGCTGTAGGATCCGGAGGTGACGTGACCGTCGCTGGTCTGGGCGTGGGCGTAGTCGTTGCCCGAGTAGGGGTCCCTGACGGCGTAGCTGAAGTCGAAGGGCATTCCTGGCTGCTTGTAGGTCGGGTGAGGAGCGTGGTAGACGGGAGGAGAGTCGGGACGGGGGACGGCGGAGGCCAGAGCCGCGAGGGCGCCCACCAGGAGGATCAGCTGCAAGAGGAAGTAAATAAAATCCACAAGTACGGTGAACGTCAAAAAATATATAAATAAAATAAAATGAGAAAATAAAAACATGAGAACGACTAGAACTTTGTAGGAAGATAGGAATATCCCGAGGAAAATTACTGCAGTTTCAAGAAATCTTTGTTCATATAAATAGAATCAATAACACAAAAAGAAATTAGTTTAATTAATAAATTTTGGAAAAACGTCACGTAGATTAAGAAATAAGGGAACTGAAGAAGAGAAAGAGGGAAATGGGGAAAGAGACTGATGGATGGAAATGAGAGAAGGAAAGAGTTTTACAAGTTCGAAGGCCTGAAATATCTGTCCTTTTCCCCCCAAAGCTACTCACTTTCGCAGACATGTTGGTGTTGGACGCAGAGGAGCTGAGTGAGCTGTGATGCTCGGCTGGAGGAGGAAGCCCCTTTTATACTCATCAAGGAAGCTGTGACGTCACTGTTACGAACACTGGATACTGCAAAGGCAAATGACGTTGATGATAGTAACGTAAAAGCAGTTACAGAATACCAAAGAAATAATTTCAGCAAAAAACATTTTAGCAAAAAAATTATGATGTTTATCTTATCAAGTAGATATTAATGATCAAAAAGTAAGAACACAATTCGGTAATGATGGTTATAGTCATAAGGATGATACTGAAATAATAAAATAATTTATTATGGCAGCAGAGATATTGCTAATGCCGAGAACAGTAATATGGTTAACGGTATTCACAAGATAAGAATAAAGATGTTCTACCACAACGGTGATGGTGCTGACAATGTTCTTGATCGTGATTATGATAATTATGATACTGATAATGACAATGGAAATGAAAATTATCATAATTATTCTTTAAAATTTGAACAATGATAATAACGATGATAGTAACGGCAATTATGATAATGGCAATAACACCAAATAAAATCAGAAAGATTTACAAAGCGGAAATGTTTTTTTGAGTTTTGCAAGAATTTAATTCCTCGTCAGAATAGCAGACTGTTGTACTAAGGTAAAAAGATGTCTGTCTATACATCTGATGAGAATTATAATAGATAAGATGATACGACTACTACTGCTAATAATAATAGTTATCCTTATAATTTATTTTATTATTAACATCATTATCATTACTATCATCATTGTTGTTATTTCTATTATCACTATGATTATGATTATCACTACTATCATTATTATTGACATCATTATTATCATTATTATTAATGTCATTACAATTGTCATTGTCATTAGTATTCCTATTATTATTATCATTATCATCATCACTGGTGTTATCATTATCAATACTACTACTATTATCATTACTATCCTCATCACTGTCGCAATTATTATTACCATCATTATCATAGCAATTATTACTATCATTATCATTATTATTCTTGTTATGATCACTATCATTAATATCACCATGGTCACAACATGGCCTATGACTGTCATCTGGAGAAGCCCATTTCTATAAGATCACACCTGAAGAAAGCGAAGGAAATCTGAAGAAGAAAATGATGAAGGACGAGGAGAAAGAGGGGGACGAGGACAAATAGAGAGAGGAGGGGAGAAGAGGAGGAGGGGAACGAGGAAGAATAGAGGGAGGAGGGGGAGGAAACGGAGAGGAGAAGGAGGAGGAGGAAGAGAAGGAAGGAGGCTTTTATGCACTTTCAAGAATGTTTGATCCTTGTGGTAATTCTGTCGTCTGAGAACAGCTGCTGAACGAGGAGCGTTTGTGGCAAACAGCTGTGAGAAGCCACATCGTCGCGAACCATTTTTGGCTGTAAATCAATATACAAATAAGATATTCATTTCCACGGCTCTTAAAAGTATCCAAATTTGTTCGCGGGTTTTGTCAGCGTGAACGACCTCGTTTCGTTCTTCCCGACAAGTATCATTAAAGGCGAGCTGAGTGCCTTCTTGTCACCCATTTAGTGGTGTTTTCGTTTTCTTTTCATTTATACGTGCTCTGTTTTCCTTTATTTTCTTTTTGGTACTTTCGTTTTATCGTCAGAAAGCCACCCGACATACCAAAGTCAAAATCCTCTAATCGGAAATAAATTAATCTCCTTCCTACAGATAATAAGAATAATCCCTTTAAACAAAGGCCGTTTAAGAACCTAAGAAGGTTATGGAAAGAAATTACTATATTTCAACAAATCTATTTCTAAAAATGTCCGCTTCTTATCAACTTAATAGATTTTACAAACATCGATGGGGTGACACTAGACCCCCCTCCCCCCTCCCTCAGCTACGACCCAACCGCGTAAATTTTCACTCATTTTTCACTTATCATACTTATACTCATCATACATTTTTCACTTAAATTTCACATTTTAGCGGTACCAGTGACACTTTGACTTGTATAAGGTCATACCAGAAGAAAACGAAGGAAAGAGAAAGAAAGAAAAGATTATGTGTATAATAAAGCTAGAATATAAATATGAGAGAGCGGAAAAGCCATTTTTGTTTATGCTTGAAGTGGACGTCCAGTCAAGCACAAAGTAATTGGGAAGTGTATATATATATATATATATAGTGATATATATATATATATATATATATATATATATATATATATATATATATAGGAACACAAAAGAAAGAATCTTAGAAAGGAGAGAAAGTAATGCTAAGTTAAAGAAAAGTGAGTAAGAGGGTTGCATCTGCATGTGCGGTTAGGTTTTCCAATGAAAAGGAAACTGTTTTGTTGACCTGTTTTTATTCATAACAGTAAAATGCAGTGACTAAAGATCTCACATTGGCACTTTTCTGAAAATACGGACAGGACGGGTGGGAATGAAGCAACAAACATTGCAATGGATTTCCATGTGGAGGTAATGAGACACGTTCCCTTGATGCACGGGAAGCACCTTAGCTTGCACGGAGACGTCTGTGGAAGCATGGAGTGGCTTGAGGCTAAAAGCATTTTCTGCGTTGGTTCTTTTTTTGTGTGTGAAGCGGGGCAGAACAGAGAAGGAAATTAGTGTGCGATAAAGAATGCACTTAAAAAAAGAAATGTTTTATGGAGTAACTTTTATTGACAAGAGCAAATTACAGCGACTAGAAGACGACTCACTTGTGAAAACATGAACAGGACGAGTCAGCGATGTTGCAATGAATTTCCATGTGGAGGTGATGAGGCTGAAGCACAGGAAGCACCCTGGTTCTGCCTTGTGCCTTTGGCGTGAATTTAATGATGCTTGAGCTTGAAAAATCTTCCTTTGGCGTCGGATATTTGGTGAGCAAGGAGCTTTTGGCAGAGCCGCCTGTGCCTTGAGGATGGAAGGGTCTTATGCATGTGGGGGGAGGAGGAGGAGGGTAGGAGGGGGGGGGTGGTAGGAAGGAGGGGGATGGTAGGGGGCGGGGGCGGGTACGAGGCCTCTCCTCGTAGGCGACGTTGGCGACGTAGCCGTTGTCGTGATCGGCGGTGAATTCGACGATCTCGGTTCGGCCGTCGGGAAGAGCCACGCTGTAGGATCCGGAGGTGACGTGACCGTCGCTGGTCTGGGCGTGGGCGTAGTCGTTGCCCGAGTAGGGGTCCTTGACGGCGTAGCTGAAGTCGAAGGGCATTCCTGGCTTGTAGGTCGGGTGAGGAGCGTGGTAGACGGGAGGAGAGTCGGGACGGGGACGGCGAGGCCAGAGCCGCGAGGGCGCCCACCAGGAGGATCAGCTGCAGGAGGAAGCAGGTAGAGCTACAGGGACGACGGGAGCGTTGCAAGAATGCAGGGATATTACGAGGGCAGGCAATTCAGTTGCAGAAAATCCTTTTTATATGATATAAAGACATCTTTTGGAAACAACAGCAAAAATGCACATTTGTAGAGCAAATGTAGAGTGACTGAATCTTGTGGCGGAATATTTAATGTTTTTGCCTGAATACGTGTTGTTCCTTACGCTGACGGGAAAAGGAACTGAAGAAAAGAAAGGTAAATGAGAAAGAGAAAGGAAAAGACAGAGACTGAAGCGTGAGAGTGAGACCTCTTCCGGATGCTACTCACTTTCGCAGACATGTTGGTGTTGGTCGCAGAGGAGCTGAGTCAGCTGTGATGCTCGGCTGAAGGAGGGAGTCCCTTTTATAGGCATCACTAGAAGGAAAGTTGTGACGTCACTATCACGAACAGTGGATACTGCAAAGGCTGTGATAATGGTAATAAGAAAGCATTATTGAAATACCAACCATTTGTTTTGAGTAATGACGTTATCAACAACTAAACATTGCTGATAGTATTAAGTAGTATGATACTCAGTTACCATTTAGACAGTTTATAATAACAGATTAACAGACATGCTTATGAAATAAGCTGAAGAGGAGAAAAACATGAACTACTTCTGCCAGTTATAGTAGTGATGTTCATGTTCAGTAATCTTTATATTGATAAAAATGATCAAGTTGACGATGATGGTTATGATAATGATAATGATTTTAGTAGTAATGATAGTAATTATAAAAGTGATGATCCTAATCATAATGATAATAACAATGATATTGATAATCATTATGATCATGATAATATCAATAGCAAAGATAATAATAACAACAATAGTGATAATAATACGGAAAATAATGATAATAAAATTATGATAACGATATAGCGGTAGTAGTAAAAATAATAATGATAATGTTGATGACAGTAATAATGATGGTAATCATAACGATGATAATAATAATTGTAGTGTAATATAATGATGATTATGAAAATAGTAATCGAGGTAA